ACTCGGGGACTTCTAGTGATCAAGACTAAGGTAAAAATCTGCCGAAGTTCCCCTTTAAATGATAATTATTCAAGGGGACAAGGCAGGGGGTTGTGCAGGCTCCTCACCATCACTTATGACATCCGCCCAAGCTGTGGACAGTGCTTTTTTTTTATTTGACTGCTGTGATCAAAGGATTGCCCAACTCAGTATAATCAAGTCGTCATGGTGGCTGATGGTCTCTCTCAGATCTCCTGACAGAATCATCTGTATCCGTTTTTTCCTCTGTCTCCTCTGTATCCATTAGGACTGTTCCATCCTTTCCTTCCATTGTATCTGTTTCCTCCTTTCTCTCCTCAGGTTCTGCACCTCTGCTGCCAACCTTCTCCTCATCACTGTCTGACATATCTGAGGGAACTGGAAGTTGCTTTCCTTGGACGTCTGGATGGTCATCCTCAGCTAAGTCATTTTGAATCAAGGCTGTTTCATTTGCTTGTTCGGATGGTGTGACTCTATCAATAGGTAAATACTCAGTATCACTCTGATGAAAGTTGGACTTAATGAACATCAAAGGACCATCTGAAGTACCATTGGATATATCAGGTGGGTTGTCAATATCAAGTGGATTGTCAATATCAGGAGTACTATCAACATTCTGAGCATTTACAGGACTCTCAACAGGACTAATGCTTGGAGGTTCAGTATGCTGAGTATCTTGGACATTGGTCATAGGTAGATCAGGCTGCACAGGATTCTCACAGACTGTGGGGACAGGAGAACCTAAATAAACTGGAATGAGTACATCATCTCCTTCATTTGAGGAATCCTCCTCCTCTACAGCAGGGTGTGCACGGGTTCCTGGCCTGCGTAGTACTGGCTTTTGTACAGGCTCACTGCTTTCCTCCACAGGTAGGTACCCACATGGAAGTAACAGGTCCCGATGTAATGTCCTTAGGGGACCATCCCTGTTTTCAGGTTTAACTGTGTAAACTGGGAGGGTGCCTGCTCTTATCACCACAACATGGACAGTGTGTTCCCATTTGTCTGAAATCTTATGTTTGCCCCGGATGCGGACATTTCTGACCAGTACCCGATCTCCAGCTTCCAAGTCTGAGGCAGTTACAGGTCTGTCAAACCTCGTTTTGTTTTTGTGAGCTATCTTTGCAGCCTTGTCCATAGCTATCTTGTAGCCTTCTTTGAGACGTGACTTGAGGTTTTGCACATACTCAGAGTGAGATGAATGTTGACCCTCTTGTACTGGCAACTTGAACGCAAGATCAACTGGCGAGGTTGGCACCCAAACATCAGTTCGTATGGGGTGAAGCCAGTCACCTCATTCCTGGTGCAATTATAGGCGTGGACCAGGGGTCTTACGTGGTCACGCCAACAAGCCTTATCTTGATCCTGGAGAGTGCCCAACATGTCAAGCAGGGTTGCCCCTTGGATGGTATAGGGTTGTCCTAACCTTGTGGATACCGGCCACCTGACAGAGTTCCCTGATTGTGCGGGACTTGAAATCTGGACCCTGGTCACTAGGTAGCTTTTCTGGGATACCATAGTGTACCATAAAGTTCTTCCACAGACACTTCGCTGTATGGGCCTTTTGATTTGGTGTTGGGATGGCAACCGCAAATTTAGTGAAGTGATCTGTGATCACAAGTATATCCTTGGTCCCACTTTTGTCAGCCTCCAGGAAATTAATCACCGAAATTGAAATTTAAGGTGGGCTCTTGGGATGACTGAGTCTCTGGAGGTCTCTGGAGGGGTTCTGATTGCTTGGCTATGTTATGTTCTTTTGATAGGATGGTCTCGATAAGCACTAACTTCTGCAATAGTGCACTTTGCAGGGATGACAACATCATGGTCAGACTCATTGCTTATGACAACTGGCAGCTTATGGGGCCGTAGCTGAGGAAAATCAACTGGACCAGCTTTAACTAGCAGGCCACCTGGCAATGGGGATGACGATGGATACTCAATACTGATGGATACTTTCACCGGCTGGAATGACTTGAGGGGTCTTGCCTTGCAGTTTCACTACCCCCTGGTGGTTGTTGCTTGCCTGCTTCTGTCTTAGCTCGATAACTTTGAAGACTACTTTGTAGCCATGTGGAAGAGGCTGACGATAGGTCAAGTAGATGTCGAACAATACATCTAGGGTGTTCGTGCCTATGAGCATGAGGGACTGTGAAGTGTCAGGGACAACCAAGGCGAGTGTGTTTACATCTATGGGAACCCCTACAAAGTCCCTTGGAAAGGTTATGGTCATTTCTATATAGCCGAGGTAAGGCACTAGCTGGCCATTTGCACCTTCCACTTCTAAGAGGTCATGCAGGGGCTTAATCTTCTGCTCTAAGTCTGAGTCTGAGTCAAGCAGACAGTTGACTTCTTCTCCCCTCACAGTCACTTGAGCTGTACTCTTGATGCCAAC